CCTCCCGAGTAGCTGGGATTACAAGTGTGCACCATTGTGCCTGGCCCCCTGGAATATTTGAAATTATGAATTTAATTTGTTTAATTTACATGTATGGGTTCACATTTCTTATTTTGTCTTGATTCAATTTGTCCAGTTGTGCCTTTAAAAGTATTTATTCATTTTGTGTCATTATCAAATTGACTTCTTGGCATAACTTGTGTATTGTAGTTTTATTATTATTTGTATAAATTTCCCTCAAAAGACTGCTTCAGTTGCATCTCTCACATTTGGTTACATTTTTTTTTTTTTTTTTAGTTTTCGGCGGACACAACATCTTTGTTATGTGGTGCTGAGGATCGAACCCCGGCCGCACACATGCCAGGCGAGCGCGCTACCGCTTGAGCCACATCCCCAGCCCTGGATTACATTTTTTAAAAATATTTTTTAGTTATAGTTGGACACAATACTTTTATTTATTTATTTTTAATTTTTTTTGAGAGATAATTTTTCAATATTTATTTTTCAGTTTTTCGGCGGACACAACATCTTTGTTTGTATGTGGTGCTGAGGATGGAACCCGGGCGCACGCATGCCAGGGGAGCGTGCTACCGCTTGAGCCACATCCCCAGCCCTTATTTATTTATTTACTTTTATGTGATGCTCAGGATCAAACCCAGTGCCTCACATGTGCTAGGTAAGTGCTCTACCACTAAGCTGCAACCCTAGCCTCTTGGATTACGTTTTAAGTTAAAAATTCTGATTTCTCTTGTGATTTCTTCTTTAACTCATGGATGTTTTAGAAGTACACTGATTGATTTCCAAATATTTGAGGATTTTCCAGCTATCTTAATGTTATGGATTCTTAACTGTGTTTAGAGAATATACTCTATAAATTCAGTTTCTTTAAATTTACTGAGACTTGTCTTAAAGTCAGGAAATGGTTGGTTTTGGAGAATGCTCCATATACACTTAAGAGAATGTCTGTGCTAATCTTGTATGTGGTACTTAAAAAATGTCAAGTCCAATCAGACTACAGTAGGGTTTCAATATTCTATATATTTATTTACTATTAATTTTTACTTGTTCTGTTAATGAGAGAGAAGTATTGATCACCAAATATAATTGTGACTATTCCCATTTCCTTTTTATATCTTCTAAATTATGCTTCATCTATTTTCTGTAATATATTTATAGTCATTTCTCCCTTCTGAGACAGGTATTTTTAGGCATTTTCATCATGCTGTGAATACAGAGTGTACTTATGCAGGACTAGGTGGTATGGCTTACCACATATCTGGCCGGATGGCATAACCTTCTACTCCTAGGCTACAAACCTGTGCAACATGTGACTATACTTAATATTGTAGGCAGTTGTAACACAATGTAATCATTTGTATATCTAAATGTATCTAAATAAAGTAAAAAACCGGTATTCCTGTATAGGGCACTTATGATGAATGGAACTTACAAAACTGGAAATTGTTCTGGGTGAGTCAATGAGTGAGCAATGAGTGAATGTGGAGCCCTAGGACCTTATGTACACCACTGCAGACTTCATGAATACTCTATGCTTATGGTACAATAAATTCATTTACATTATTTTCTTCAATTATAAATTAACATTAGCATACTTTTTTCTCTATAAACTTTCTAATTAAAAAAAAATTTTCCTCTTGAAATAAAACTTGTTTATCTTAAAACACACATTGTGTTGTAACTATACAAAAATATTTTATTTTTTTCTATTTTAAATAATTTTTTTTACTTATTAAGCTTGTTTGTTTGTTTGTTTATTTATTTATTTAGTAGTGCTAGGGATTGAACCCAGGGCCTTGTGCATGGGAGGCAAGCACTCTACCAACTGAGCTATATCCCCAGCCTACTTATTAAGTTTTGATGTTGTTGTTAAAACTAAGACATAGCCTGCCATGGTGGTGCATGCCTGTAATCCTAGTGGCTCAGGAGGCTGAGACAGGAGGATTGAGAGTTCAAAGCTAGCCTCAGCAACTTAGCGAGGCACTAAGCAACTCAGTGAGTGAGACCCTGTCTCTAAATAAAATACAAAATAGGGCTGGGGATGTAGCTCAGTGGTTGAGTGCCCCTTAGTTCAATTCCCAGTAACAAAACAAAACAAACAAACTAAAAAACCCACCACCAACAACAAAAACGCCTAAGACACAAACATACACATTTATCATGGGTCAACATTGAGGATCATAAATATCGTTGTCTTCTGCCTTCACATTTTGTCCCACTGGAAGATCTGCAGGGGCATAAAGCTGTCATGTCCTATAATAGTGCCTTCTTCTGGAATCTTTTCTGAAGGACCAATCAGAGGGTATTTTTATAGTTAGTTTTTTTTTTTTTTTTAAATAAGCTTAAGGAGTATACCCTAAAGTAAGGCTAAAAATTATAGTAAGTACATAAACAAGTAACAGTTGTTTATCATCATTATCAAGTAGCATGTACTGTACATAACTGCATGTGCTATATTCTTATACTATGGGTCTGTTTACACCAGCATCACCACAAACCTGAAAGTAAAATGTTGCATGACATTACAAGGGCTTCCTGTCAGTAGGCCATAGGAATTTTTCAGTTTCATTATAATCTGAGGGATCTACCATGGTACATAAAACATCTTTATGTGGTGAATGAATGCATTTTAAACACTTTATTATTGTACAGTAAATAATATGCCTACTTTTTATTTTGTGATGCTAGTATTGGAGTTTTAAATTTTTTATTTTGTAATTTTTTCGTGAATCCTCTGATAAGTTGCCCATTTGGTTCATCTTTTTGAAGAATCATTGGGTTTCACTGATGCTCTGTATCACTTCTTTATTCTCTATTTCACTTACTTTCACGGCAACACCCCTCCTCATTTAGTTTGCTTGCTTCCTTTTTTTGCATCTCTCTCTTCTTTTGAATTGAACCCAGGAGCTATACCCCCAGCCCTTTTCATTTTTTTATTTTGAGATAGTGTCTGGCTAGATTGCTGAGACTGGCCTTGAACTTGGCCTCCTCCTATCTCTGCTTTCCAAGTTGCTAATTTGCTGAAATTACCACCAGTATGTTTGGTTACTTTGCTCTTTTTTCCTTCTTTTGGAATTAAACCCAGGGGCACTCAGATCACTAAGTCACATCCCCAGCCCTGTTTTGTATTTTATTTAGAGACAGGGTCTCACTGAGTTGCTTGGTGCCTCACTTTTTTCTGAGACTGGCTTTGAACTTGCAATCCTCCTGCCTCAGCCTCCCGAGCTGCTGGGATTGCAGGTACGGGTCATCTATGGCATTCTTTTTTTTCTTCTTAATGGAAAATTAGATTATTCACTTGAGATCTTTATTTTTTTTTCTTTTTTTAAAATATTTATTTTTTAGTTGTAGTTGGACACAATACCTTTATTTTTGTTTATTTATTTTTATGTGGTGCTGAGGATCGAACCCAGGGCCTTGTATGTGCTAGGTAAGTGCTCTGCCCTTGAGCCACAACCCCAGCCCTCTTTATTTCTTTTTAACATAGGTATTACAGCTATATATTTCCCTCTAAGTGCTCCTTTATTTGCATCTCTGTATTTTTGGTGTGTTGTCTCTCCATTTTCACTAATCTGAAAGTGTTTTCTAATTTTGATTTTATTTTATTTTTCTTTGATTCAGTGATTATCCTGTAATGTTTTGTTTCCATTAATGTGTGAGTTTCTCAAATTTCCTTCAGTTAGTAATTGATTCCTAAAATTTTATTCCATTTTGGTCAGAGGACATAATTGAAACATTTAAAAAAAATAACTTTATTTTATTTATTTATTTTTTTATGTGGTGCTGAGGATTGAACCCAGTGCCTCACATGTGCTAGGCAAGTGCTCTACCACTGAGTTACAATACCAGCCCTCGAAACTTTTTCTGTTCCTTTAAACTTATTAGTATTTGTCTTGTGGCCTGACATTTGGTGTGTATCCTGAAGAATGTTCCATATGCATTTGAGGAAAAAAAGTGTATTTTGCTCTTGAGAGGAATGTTTATGGATATCCATTCGATTGGGATGGTTTATGGTGGTGTTCAGATGTTCTTTGTTGATTACTTGCTTAACATATTCGTTAGTGAAAGTGGAGTCCTGAAGTCTTCAACTAAGATTATTGTGTGTATATTTCTTTGTTTTTTTAAGTTTCATCTTTATGTCATTTGGTGTTTGGGTGTTAGATGCATATATGCTTCTAATTATTGTTTATGATGGACTGATACTTTTATTACTGATTAATCTAATTAATAAAATAAAGTCGATTTTGTTGATCATTAGTGTAGCCACTCCAGATTTCTTACGGTTGCTATTAATATATATCTCTTTTTCAGTGTTTTTTTTTTCCCCTTTAGTACTTGGGATTGAACCCCCAGGGGTGATTTACCACTGAGCAATAAGCCCTTTTTAAATTTAATTTGAGACAGGGTCTCAATAAGTTGCTGAGGATGGCCTCAAATTCCTGCTTCTGCTTCCAGAGTTGCTGGGATTACAAGAGGACGCCATAGCCATTACTTTCCATCTTTTTTATCTATGTATACCTGTGAATCGTAAGTGTGTCTACTGTAGACAGTGTGTAGTTTAATCTTATTTATCTAGTGTGACAATCTCTGTCTTTTGATTTCCTTATTTATTCCATTTCCATTTAATGTTAATGAACTTTGTCTGTAATTTTACTTTGTCTCATGTCTTTTCTTCCTCTTCCTTTACTGATTCTGTATGTATTAAGTGGATATTTTCTACTATAATATGTTAATTCTAATTCTTTTTCATTATAGTTTTCTTCATGGTTGCTCTTGGACTTACTCTATACAATTTGTCTATCAAAAACTACTTCAAAATTCATACTTAATTTCAGTGAGATATGAAGATGCTATTCTCTATTTCTTCTTTGTTGTGCTGATATTTTTAAACATCATATAAAATTATGTCATAAACCTGACAATATATTGTAAGAATTGCTTTATACAAATTTTGGAAAGTTTATATTTCTTTGTCTCCAAGGTCACTGATCTTTTATTCTTCAGTACAGTCTACCATGAATCCCACCTCACATTTTGTACATTTGACATCTCAGATGCTTTTATCTTTGGAATTTTGATTGTGATCTTTTATGTGTCTCATGTAACTGCTTGAACATTTGGAATAAATTTATGAACACTGTCTTAATGTCATTGTCTGCTAATTCTAATATCTGTGTGAAGCCCAGTGTTTTCCGGGCAGCTGGATGTCAGGGCTGCCCTCTCTTCCCTGACTCTACTTCCCACACCCTGCACTCCACAACACATGAGTCCATTTGTTTCTTCACTAAACAAGATGCTAGGATCATAGGCCCTATATTTCAAGCAATAAATGTCTAAATTAGATTCTGCTTTATAAATCCACAAGTTTGGATTGGAGCAATCACTAGGATTACTAGAACTAAGGGCAGGGAAAAGGGACAGGTGATTAGAAAAAACAAAAACTTAACAGGAATCTATCTATGATGAGAAATTATAAAGTCCCTCTTTTCTCCTAATCCCCAAATCTGGTTCATTTAAGAAGGTTAGGAAGTGGATGGGAAGTACAATCCAAGGAACACTTCTAGAAGGAGGGCAAGAGCTGTATAAATCTGAAAATTCATCTCTTGATGTCACAAATTTACTGTGTGTAAGGGCTGGCTGAACCTTGTAAGGGTAACACTATAGTTTGGATCTGAAATTTCCTTCAAAAGTTCATGTTAAAGCCTGGTTCCCAGCATGTGGTTCTATTGGAAGATGGTGGGAAAAATATGAGGTGGAGCCTTGTACGAGGTTTCAGTTATTGGGGTTGTACCCTCAAAGGATGTCATGTGGCCATGGTTTCTTCTCTCTTTTGTTTCTCTGCTAGGTGCTGCCACCATGACATGCTGCTTTGCCAAAGGTCTAAAAGCAATGGGGACAATTGATCATGGACTGAAATCTCAAACTATTAGCCAAAAATCCTTTCCTCTTGTAAGGTGATTTTCTTGGGTATTTTTTTTTACAGTAATGGAAAACTGACTTAGACAATGAGAGGACAAACAAGAGGGACTAGATGCTTAGGGATAGGCTGGTGTCCACATTTTCTCACATTATACTCCTTGGAACACAGACACGTAAGTTTTTAGGGGCCAGTTGCAGAAAGAGAATTTAGGAGCTTCCCGAAATCTCAATGTTGGGGGCACTTGAACAAATCTTGTATTTCTCAGTCCCATACAAGGCAGCTATCTCACACTGAAAAAAAAAATAATCAAAACCAAATTCATATCATTCACCGTAAGTGGTGACACTCTGAACAGCCCACCATATACTAAAAATGACCAAATCCAAAGAATCCCCATAAACTAGGAGTCTTCCTTGCCCTCCCTCCTCTTCCACTTCAAGCCCTCCATGGTCTCACCTTTACAAGCCAGGAGAAATACATCAGAAGCCTGGGAACTGTCACTGCCTGGGGCAGAGCAAAAAGGGCCCATAACAGTTGTGGCTAAAAGAGGAATTATGGGGTTGGGTGATCTTCCCCATGGGCTCCTGTCTACACTGTCCCCAACGGTCTCAGAGATCAATTCTCTGCATACTTACAGGCAGCCTGAGTGTAGCTGCCTCCTTCTCCACCTGTGGGAAGAAAACATCCTGTGAGAAGCCAGGGTTGATCATGAGTCATGAGGTTCTAAAGGAAACAGCAAATCCTGAACCCTGGGGAAATTTCCAGAACTATGACTTCAGATCAGGAGCAGGATCAGGAACCATGAGGAAAGAAGAGGTAAAGGGATGAGGAGACTGTCTTCCTGGAAGGTACCTCATCAGGGACCTTCCTCTGTTACCTGTTACTGCTGGGAATCAGATTCCCATCATAACGATCACCAGGGTGATAAACTTTTCTTTTACACTCATATGCTTTAATAAGAGGCTCCAGGGACTGGGGTTGTGGCTCAGGGGTAGGGCACTTGCCTTGCATGCAGGAGGCACTGGGTTCAATCCCCAACACCACATAAAAAAACTAAATAAACAAAATAAAGGTATTGTGTCCATCTACAACTAAAAATAGAGAGAGAAAAAAAAAAAAAGAGGCCTCAGGCAAACAAGGCCTCAGGGTGGATAAGAACATGTGTGTGGATGGTACTTCCCATTAACACAGGACACCCTTCTACCTACATTTGAAATCCCCTCATGGGACAAGAACTCTGACCCCTCTCCTTCCCTACCTGCATTCTTTTTCTTCCACATAATAATAGTGACCACAGTTCCAGTGACCACAACTCCAAGGAGAACCGGGCCAGTGATGATTCCCATGGTGGGGATGATGGACTGGGCAGACTGCTCTGGGAAAGGAAGGAAAGCTGAGGGGCCCTATTATGGTTTGGATAGTGTTTGTCGTCCTGGGTTCATTGGAAGTTTGGTTCCCAGTGTGGTAGTGTTGTGATGGTGGGATCTTTAGGAGGTAGTGCCTAGTGGGAGATCCTTAGGTCACTGAGGGTCTGCCTTAGTTCTCTAGAGAACAAATTACTAAAAGAATCTCTCTCCTTTCTATGGCTTCTAGTCTTGCCATGTGATTTCTCTCTCTTGTACTAACTCCTACCATTCTGGTGCCATCTGCTATGAGGTTGTCACCAGAACCCAACTTATGCTGGTGCCATGCCTGTGAATCTCCAGAATCAACTTCTTTACTTTATTAAGTACCCATCTTCAGGTATTTCACTGTAGCACTGGAAAACTGACCTATTCATGCCTTGATGCCTAGCTGTCATCCCTGATTCTGCTGAGGGTCTCCAGAATGGCTCCTGTTTGCCCCAATGACAGATCTGTGCCCTCATCCTCCTCCTTACCCCATCTCAGAGTGAGGGCTCAGGCAGCCCATGATAGTGCACATGGCATGTGTATCTCTGCTCCTCTCCAGCAGGTACCTTCACAGCTGCCCATTTCTGGAAGTTTCCATCCCCTGCAGGTCCCCACAAGCTCCATGTCTTGTGTCTGGTCCTCCCCACTGCTGCCAGGTCAGGGTGATCTCCTTAGGTTAGAAGCCAAGGGCCTATACCTCAGGATGACTTCATTGTCAGAGATGGGGTGGTAGGTCACATGTGTCTTTGGGGGCATTGTAGAAATATCAGGAAATTAAAACATTTTGCATTATCTCCCTTGGGCTACTGAAGAAGAATTCTTCTGATCATCCTAATAAGTGATGGGACAATTAAGATGGGAAAGAGTGTAAAACCTAGCCACTAGCCAGTCCTCAGTTATCTGGGATAATATTCCTATTCTTTGGACGGTTCTAGAAGCAGGGTGAGAGAGCCCGGGATGAGGTGCCAGGTCTGTGAGAGGGACCTAGAGTTGTGACCTGAGTTAAGTTCCAGGGATTGGAAAAACTGGAGTCAGACCTCCAAAGACACTGCTTTGGGGGCAGAGAACAAAGCATGAGAGAAGTCCCTCTGTAATGCCTAAGGTTGCTGCCAGAGTCAAAGGGAACTGCTGGTCGGTTATTTCTGGGACTGTCCAGTCCAGGAGAGTGTGAGGGGAAAGGTAGAAGGGCCTAGGCAGCCAGAGCAAGATGACAAGTGAGGAAGGAGATCAGGGCAGGGCCAAAACAAAGGAGCATGGAGAGGGTCTTCTGATAGAGGTCAACTTCCTGGTTGAGGAAAGTGGACACAAGCAGGGGACCCAATTAGACAGACACTTCCTTACTCCTCCTTCCAAGTGGGGGATCCAATAGAAAACCTAAAACAGACACGAGGACAGAGGGGGCACCAATCAATAATATTGAGGAGAACGTGGACAGGGAAGGAGATAAGGACAGGAGGAAATTTCAGAGACCATAAAAAGAGCAGGCCACCCCCCCCCCCCCCCCCCACACACACACCCCTGATTCCCAGCTCTGGGGCCTTTTCTCTTCGGAGAAGTCTCTGTAGCTTTTGTAATAAACCCGCTGCTTGCTTGCTATCTCTGTGTTCTGTGCGTCAATTCTTTGCTGAACTGAGACAACGAACCCAGTACCCCTAGATGGTTACAACTGGATCCTTAAGTTATCTCCAAGAGTAATACTCTCTAGTACAGTATTCGGAAACCCAGGGGGATTCCATCCTTTCTGGATTCAGGGGAGAGCGATATTCTAGCACTGGCCCAATTTTACTCCCCTTCTGGGGGGAAGGCAGGTAGTGCCACTTGCAGATCGCGGAGATACCCTCAGCCCCTGGTACCTGCGTGCTGTAGCTTCTCCTTGCCACACTGCAGGTATCTGCCGAGCCACTCCACGCACTCCCCCTCGACGTTGGCCCTACAGCGATAATCCTCACTGGACGCCTCCCATTAGCGCTGGATAATCTGAGCCGCTGTGTCCGCGCAGTCCAGGAGCGCAGGTCCTCTTTCAGCTCACTGTAATCCACCCTCGTAGGCGTCCTGACAGTACCCGCGGAGGAGGCGCAGGTTCGGCCCCAGGATGCAGCCACGGAGAGTCTGGTAGGTATGAGCTCCTGGCACCGCCGCTCTTGTCAGGCCGGCCCCATGGACTTTCCCCGCGTGACACTGAGGGGCGGTGATTGATCAGAGCCTTTTCCCAACGAAATCGAAAACCCAACTGGAGTGAATCCCTGGGGCTTTCCCCAGGTCTACGTGACCCGCGAGTCCCGCAGCCTTAGGGTGAAGCTGGGCCATTCCGACCCGTTCATGGAGAATGAGGGTGTCTCGTGTCCTTCGCTCTGGGCCCAGGTCACTTACCTGCGTCGCTCTGGTCTAGCCGAGCAGGTTGTTTAGAATCACTCGGAAAGGCTGTGCACTGCGCTTGACGTGTGTTCCGGTCTCAGGTCCCACCTGCTCCATCCATGGCACCCGCGGCTCTGCCCTGGGATTCACCATGTCGCTATCGAAGTGGCCAAATATTTAAGTCGTCCACGTAGCGGATAGAGATGTACCAGGCCTCCCCGCGGCAGGGCCGGGACACAGTCTTGGTGAAATACAGAAGGGAGTGGAGCCTGAAGATAGGCAGCAGCTGAGATTCTCCTCCTGGCACTGGACCCGGGGATCCTACGTTAGTCAGATAGGAAGGGCGGGCGCTGGAGCCCGTGAGACCAAAAAGGGGAGGAAGGATAAGGCGACCAGGCAGCAGGTAATGAGGTGGGAGGATCAAGACAAGGAGCGGTGCGGGTGGGGAGGGTCTGTATCTCCGTGCAACCGCTACCAAGGCAAGATTTCCCCGGGTCAAGCGTCCCCGCTGGACTGTGCCCTCGCCCCTCCCCTAACAGAGGCCATTTCCCTTTAGACCCTGAACTCACCAGGTCTCGGTTAAGGCCAGGGTCTGAGAGTGCAGCAGGAGGAGGGTTTGCAGAGCCGGGACCCCCATCCTCGGGGTCTGGAGGATCTGAATCTCTGCGGGTCTGTGGGAACTCTATAACCCAGAACCGCAGCGATACCGATTGGCTTCTCTGGAAACCCAACACGCAATGGGAGCGAGAACTGGGACCACGTCATGAGTGTCCAGGCAGAGGGACGAGACACGGGTTTGGGAAAGGAGAAGTGAAACTCCTGGAGGTCGGGAATCCCCAGTGTGTGGCTTCCCTAACCCCGCCACCGTTCTAGGGTCAGAGACCGGTTAGAAATTAGTGTGGATTCCCAAAATAATTATGTTTACGTGGACATATTAAAGGTTAAAATCACTCTTAAAAATGTGACTCATTTAGAATATTACTAATAGCAGGGTAACATATAATATTTTTAAGGAGAAATAACTATTTCCCAAAAGAAAACAACCACAGTGAGAAAAGTGACCTTTTTGCATTTTACAGTTTTGCAATTCTTTTTTTTTTTTTTTGTATTTATCTCATTGGAAAATTCTAGACTTTCATATATTTGGCATTTAACCTGTTATTTTGGTTGAAAAATAGAAAAAAATGCAGCCTCACACAAATATGTAGGAGGAATGTTTTTTCATAGCGTTTTAGATAACTGGATATTTACCATTAATACTACACTGAAATGACAGAGTGTTAGCTTCTTAAAAGTTCTATGAAACAGTATCATTGAATAGTTCCTATTCTGTTGCTTTATAGTACATGGGTTTTTCTTGCATGTTGAATGAACCTTGTGCCCATAATGCATCATATTCTTTAAATTCATGCATGGTTTGATCCAGTGTTGATACATTAAAGTACAATTTATAAAAAAAACACATGTTAATATTACTGCAGATTTCAACAGAAAAATGTTTTAAGTATTGGGAAGCTGCCAAGTTTATGGTTGTGGATTCAGGTTCTCCAAGATTCTAATTTCTTCTTGAGAGCTTACATTTTATCACTGGCAAAAAATACTATCAATGGATTATCTTACAGGGAACTGCTTAGGTTATTTTTGACAATGTTGGCCAAATATTTAAGTCTAAGTAATCATAATTTGTCATGCATTTTTTAAAAGTAGGAATGTTATTCTGTAAAAAAGGGGGCTACTACAGCTCAAAAAAATATCCTCTTGTCACTGGGTGTGGTGGCATAAGCCTGTAATCCCAGAGGATCCTGAGGCTGAGGTGCCTCAGCAATTTAGCCAGGACCTAAGCAACTCAGCAAGAACTTGTTTCAAATAAAATATATTAAAAAAATTGTTGACCCAAACACCTCACTTTGGAATGCAGTATTTATGTGTATTTCCCATTTAATCACATAAGATATTGTAAAAATATAAACTCCGGAATGGAGACTTAATAAGATCAATAATTTTTAATACTCCAACCAGGACATGTTCAAGTGAAAACTTCTTTTTTCTTCTGTAACTAAGAGGTGGTAAAGAATATAATAACTACTATTGATGTTTGGTACCATAGCTTCCATTCTTGCTATGTTTTATTTTCATGAAAATAATGTCTTAGTAATGCTGTAAAAATAGTTTTGACTTTCCAGGTCCTGTGAAAGGATCTGAGCACCTCTGAGGATTTCACACATAACATGTTGAGAACTAGGGTTTTGAGTAAACCTTGGAGAGTTTGCAGCTGACTCTATCCTCTTTGCCTCTTCTTCATTTCCAGAATTCCTCTCCCTGACCTTGACTCCCTGCCTTCCAAAACTTAGCTAGTACTCTGCTCTGGACTCTTCTACAAGAGAACAGCTCCCTGGAAATGTCATGCTAAAGAGCATGACAGTGTGGGAACAGGACTGGAGGGACATGTGTTTCCCCTTTGGAATTATGAACAGTTTGTATGTGAAAGTATCAAGTAGATGATTCAGTCATGGTGCATTTTGGTTTTGGGTATCCATGTACACCCCCAGTTCTTGGCTCTTTCATTTTAAATGGATCCATGTAGCACCAAGAACAGTGACATTCACTCATCAGACTGTTATAATAAAAATGTTATGGACAGGGTGACTTATAAATGACAGAAATTTCTTTCTCACTGTTCTGGAAGCTGGAATTCCAGTTCAAGGGGTTGGCCAACTCCATGTTTAGTGAGGGCAACTTCCTCATAGAAAACCATCTCCTCACTGTGTCCTCATATGGCAAAAAGGGGCACAAAAGCTTTCTGGGGTCTGCTTAATGAATGTCCTAATCTCTTTGTGACCTAATTCCTCCCAAACACCCAATTTCCAAATACTTTCTCATTTGGTATTAGATTTCAACATATGAAACTGGAGGTACATAAACATGGGGTCTATAATGCTGATACTGTCAATGGAACATTTGTGATTTTTTTTTTAGCTAGCTTTTGTGTTGCTGTGACTGATACCCAACAAGAACAACTTAGAAGATAAAAATTTATTTGGAATTTATGGTTTCAGATGGCTCTAGATGGCTGATAGCATTGCTCTGGGCCCAAGATGAGGCAACATATCATGATATAAGTGCCCGGTGGAGGGAAGCTGCTCAGCACATGGTGGGGGTCAGGAAGCAGAAAGAGTGATGGATGAAGGGACCCTTGGGAAGTAGCGCCCTTCCAGGGCACACCCCCGGTGACCCACCTCCTCCAGCTGTGCCCCACCTGCCTACAGTTACTGCCTAGCCATTTAAACTAGGATGAACTGATGGTTACTGCTCTCATAATCTAATAATGTTACCTTTGAATATTCCTACATTACCACAAACTTTTGGGGGATACCTCATATCCAAACCATAACAGTGATGACAAAATAATTTTATATCTGCACCGTTCAACATAGTAGCCACTAGTTATATGTGGCTTTTGCATTCTTGGGATGTGGCTACTGCCCCAAACAGATGAATTTTTAATTTCATGCAATTAATTTTCTAAATAAATAATTCCCCTTTGGAATAGGAACAGTTTGTATGTGAAAGTATCAGGAAGATGATTTAGTCATGGTGCATTTTGGTTTTGGGTATCCATGTACTGAGTTTGATGCAATTTATATGAGAAATAATATTGACCCCCCACTCCACAGTGTAGCTAGCAGTTACCATTTTGAGTCCAGTGTCTAGAGTATATATAGAATATGGAAACCATGGATTTTTCTGTGTGACTATGAGATATCTCTAAAATACACCATGCCTAAGAAAGTTGAATGTGTATTTTAAAAATCAGAAAGTACAGAGTATCTATAACATAATTTATCATCCTCAGTCATATATTTTCAAATATGCCCATCTCTAGAACTTAATTCTTGTCTGATTTCATTGGTACGCTCAGCATCATTGTTATTTTTAATGGACATAAGGAGGCATATAAGTTTACTCTTAGGCAGAAGAAAATAGGTATTGAAGGCAACATATATAAAGTATCTTGCAGTTCCTGTAGGCATATTTAAAAAAAATTATCAACAGAAGATCTAGACCTTGGAACGGCACCTTAGAATTTGCTGTGGTTTAGATACGATTTGACTGTGTCCCCCAAGGGTTTATGTATTGAAATTCAATCCCCGTTGTGAGGTCTTGAGAAGGTGAGAGCTTTGGAGTGGAGTCTCCAGGATTAAAACAGGTGGCTACAGAGAGAGATGGGGAGAGAGGGAGGGAGGGAGGGGGAGATAGAGAGATAAAGATGGGGCGGGATATTGCAGGAAGGACACACACACACATGTGCTCCCTGTCTTTCCTCTTGTCAAGCTCTGCTCCACCTTGGCATCCTGTTAACAGGAGGGCAATTTCTAGATGGGCCCCTTGGCATTGCACCTCCGGAACTGTGAGTCAAAATAATTCCTGCATAGTCCAGGGCTCTCCAGAAGTGTCTTTATCTCAACCTTGATGTACATTCTCCGAAACGGCCCTCTCTGCCCCACTCATTTCACAGCTCTGTTTTCTTCAGAGCTGTTCCAGAAGGTTCTGAGGGCAGAACAGCGGCTGGCTTCAGGACTGAGCATTGAAGACTAGAGCTACTTTTTTCTAGTCTCACCTGGGTCTGCGTAGGGTCTTTTTGGGCTCCCAGCAGCTATACAGGGCTCTTCACACCAGAGGGCGCCGCCACCCAGTGTCTGATTCTGAAGTCCCAATTGCTATCCAAAATACAAGGTAAAGTATGTTTTCTTCCCGTTAAGTGACCTCTACCTCAGGGCACATCTGTGCCTTCAAAACCATAAAGGACAGTTTCCCAGAACTGGAGTGGATCCCACGAATGTACGGGGTGCCCTCAGTCTCCTGGAAAAACCCTGGACTATTGAGTCCTTGTTCTCTTGCTGCTTCCAGGATGAAGGGGTCCCATTCAGGCAATCAACCCTGGATTCTCCAACCCTAGGATGGAGCAGAGGTCAGAAAGGACCCTGGAGTTTTAGCTTAAAGAGGAGGGAGGCTCCTGGAGAAGGGAAAACAGAAGAATCGGCATATTAAAGAAATGGTGGCCAAACGGGAAGGAAAGGAATCTAATTGAAAAGGGATATGGGAAAGGCTCGTCTAGTGAAGGGCTGTGTGGGAGGGATAGATGCATCTGATATGAGGTTAAGGGGCTTCTGG